ATTTTTGTTTTATGTATGTATGTACATGCGTGCGTTAGTTTGTGTGCACATTAGACTCAAAGTACACACAAAACAAGAATGATGACGGCGAAGAATAAAAAAGGGTCAAGCAAATATGCGGATTTTATCATGCTCTTCTGATGCTGCATTGGTGTCACTTGCACGTGCATATCTGCAAGGGGTTATGTTGTATCCCTTTGTTTTCTCTGTTTGAGCCGCTGCGCGCTCATTTATGCCAGATTTACATGCCGTTTCAGGTAAAATGGGAGCATTTGCGGTGCATCCAAGCACTTCTTCTAAGCCCCAATTGCCGAGAATAATCGCTAGTTAGCGACACTGGAAACACCCTAACACTCTAACGCTTGCAGGTGCACCAAGCGTGTGTGCAATTCACATAAGGTGTGGTTTGTGCGTGAGATGAATTTTGTGAATGAAAAATGTACAGATTAAGGTCATTAGTAGAGTTCCGCAATGGGAAAAAGGAAATAGAGGGGAAATGCCGGGTGTTGATAATTGTGAATCTGGAAGCGAATGCAAGTGTGCGTTCAGTAGAATGCCATTGAGCCATGGTGCGTGATGCCGGTGAGTGCTTGGTCATTGCAGCATGGTACTCGTGCGACGCAGGCGCCGATCTCGGCTGGGCGCCTGGGCTGGCCAACACGTGCATGGTGGGCAGGCCGTAGCGGACCTTGTGGTTGCTGACCGCCATAGAGGATGCAGCGCGCGCCGAAGAGCACACGGTGGGCTTTGGCCTTTGCTGAGGGCCGGCAGCGTCTGCGCGGCACTAGAGGCGGTTGCCGAGGCAGGCGCAGGGCGCGCGTACGGGTGCATGGTGTGGTGCTGGATTGGGTGCGAGCCGGCAAAAACCTGAGGCGCGTACATTCCGTGCGAATGGTATGCGTCGGTGGCTGCATCGCCAAAGACAGCCTTGCGCGGGCTGACGTTGCGACGTGATTTGGTCGACAGGTGCGTGCGGTAGTGCTGCATCATGTTGTCCTGGCGCGAGAAACGGCTTGAGCAGCCGGGGTATAGGCAGCCAAAGTTTTTCTCGCCCGTGTGGATCCGCTGGTGGCGCGCCAGATGGCCGCTCGTGGTGAACGCCTTGCCACAGCCGTTAAACGCGCACCTGTACTTGCGCTTGCCTGTGCTCTTGGCACTTGCCGGCTCGGACAGCGATGCACTGGCTGTGGGCGAAGAGGCACACAACGAGAAAGAGTCGTGGGAACTGGCAATGCTAGCGCTATAGTAGGCCTGTCTGTGCCCACGCACACCGCCACTATTCCTGATGCCAATGCTGCCGCTAATGCTCCTGTGTGAGTGCATGTCGCTGGCCAAGTTAGATGCTGCAGTTACCAGGCCCACGGCCTGCACCAGCGTGGACAGAGACGGCAGCATGCTTGGGATATGCAGTGGCGTGGTAGCGCCAGGGGTCGACAGGGCGCGGAAGGAGCTTGCATTTGTCGGCGAGCTGCCGGGGGAGAGCCCAGGAACTGATGAGCAGCGCTTGTGATCGGATGCATTGCTGCTGCTGTCGTCAGTCTCATCGCAGTCATTGAGAATGCTGACGCAGCTGCCGTCTGCCGTTCTAATTGACAGTGACGGAGCCGCGCGCCGTGGAATTGGTGCACAGGTGCGACTGGCGCCATGGCAGGAGAGACCCAGGTGCATTGGTGTCCTGATCGCATGCCCGGGAGTAGAGCGCGTGGCGACAATGGAGCCGGCTGCCGGGCAGGGAGAGGTGGATGTTGAGCTGGACATTGCTTTGTTGTGCCGCGATGATTAAACCGGCGATAAGATTCAAAAATTAAATGAAAAATTAAAAGAAAAAACCCGATTTCGAGCAACTTTTACACTCGAGAATATGAAGAATATATTTTGATGCGCGTAAAATATTGAACAGCAGCGCCCTCACTTGTATGTGTGTATGCGAGAGTCAAGGCAATGACTGTACTAAGGAGATAGAATAAGAATGGTGATAAAAAGGATAAATATAAATATAAAGAAAACAGGGCTGAGCTGAGCACTAATGGATAATAAGGGAATGGGTTATAGACTGTTGAGAGAATGCAAGAAAGAAAAAAACCGACCGGGAACTTTGGTATTTATGTATCCGACCCATGGAAGTGGGGGGAAGGAAGAGGAGGAAAGAGGGGGGTTGGTTTGCGAAAAAAGAGGGGAGCCCGAGCGTGCAACATTATTGTTCCAGCGAATTCGTGGTTATTAAAAAGTGCATATCCGCTAGGGCACACAAAAAACCCGATAAACCACGCGCATTTAGCGCAGTGCATACATTTTTTAAGCACCATCTATGGCGTCGCTGACTTTTCCGAAGCTACCCACCCTATGTACCCACCCCCTTTATCCCCTCCCCACCACCTCCGTCGTTGTCCCCATCTTCCCTCTTCTTGAGCAAACAAAAAAGGACGTAATATTACGCTGCCAAGAAAACAAAATTATTTGTTTGCAGTTGAAAGCCGAGTGAGCAGAGAGGAAAAATACCACCACCCTCTCGCGAGCGCGCATATGCTCATCGTCAATATGAGCATACAGCTAGCTACGCAGGAAATAAACAATGAACGACAAAAAAAGACAAGCTTTGGCTGCCAAAGAAAGAGGAAAGTAATAAAGAGGGGAGAGGGGGGTGTTACGACTCTTGGGTTGCCTGGGGGCCAATTACCAACTGGACTGAAAAAAGTGGCGGTGTCTATTGGTAGGCTCCGAGTGGCGGTGCTCAAAAGCACAGCACAGCTAGAGAGGAATAAAAGGGGGGAAGGGGTGGTTGCTTGCCCGCCTACGTGTGGACCCCTTCACTGCCATTGTTTTGTCTGCTTGAACTACATAATAGCGTTCAAGCCGACAGAGCTTACAGTGCTGAATTTGTATGCTGCACATGCACCCGGACTCGATAAATGGTCTGTTGGATGGCATCAGATTCTGCATTTTTGCAAACGAAAGCCCGGGTAAATGCACCATATCAAGGAGCTAATAATAACTTTACAATGATCGATAAAACAACATTGGGAGCTTGATTACTTGGCTCGGTGGTGGTAGTCGTGGTAATGGCAGCGCAAGCAAGCAAAAAGGAATGAGTAAAAAATAAACAATGGCTATATAAATGATAAGCTTTTTTCGTTTGATGTTTTTGCGACAATCCCCGTGTACGGGTTATGCACAGTGTCCTTGCAGGCTCGGCGCTGCTTCTGTCCTTTCCTCCGAGTTTATCCTTCATTTTGCATAACTAGCCGCACTTAATTTGCCAATTCGTTCAGTCGAGCCAAAATAACAAAGCAACAGAGAGATCTCAGGTCGGCACATGCATGCTTTTGCATAAATAATCTGGAATAATTAGCAATGCACTCAAATTACGCTGCCATGCTATGCGCTGCAAGAGATGGGGATACAAAAAGGAGTAGACTGACAGAGAGGGAGCGGGAGAGGGAGATGAAGCTGATTTAGCAGTTGTTAATTGCTGAGGAAAAATGCTCATTAATTAATGCTTCGACAAAACAAACCCAACCGCACATAAATGCAGCACGCCGTACAAAAAACCAACACAATAAAGTTACGCTGGAGACTCCTCCACACTCGCTTACTCGTACATGGCTCTCTCTTTTTCCCTCCCACTTTTGTGAATTTCCCCTTTCCTCCCCCATAGCCACGCATTTTACTGTTGTAGTAATAGTCTGCTACTGACGCTTACTGATCCTTTTAGCAGTTCAATTTTAATGCACCAATTACCCGCTTTCAAGCAAGGTCTTTGCTGTGGCGCCAACGCAGTATTCATTAAAACGATAACCAATTAAATTTTGCTACTGTGAGTTAGACATGTTTATTAATTTGAAGAAACCATGCCCAAAACATTTGACAGGTATTGAAAATAAGATGACGACAAGTGTGGATATTGTGCGCAAAAAAGCAATTAATATATCTGGGCCACACAGATCGACATGTACAATGAAAAAGCACAGTTATAATGTCCTGTTGTTGACAATTCCTTGGCAATGGCGTCTGCTTGCCAGAGCCACATACTGAATAGATGTATTGAGCCCCTGCTGCGCTGAGTCTATTTATTTTTCTGTAGACAAGACATGCAACAAGCCTGTCTGATCCCAATTGTATTATCTATATTATTCAACAATCTATGAAAAAATCCCCTTTTTATAACAACCACACGCCTTTTCTTTATGCCAAACCGGCATTATCCTCAAAAATAGCTGGTCTTTAATATTAAAATTAGCGTGTGAAGTATGCAATTCATGCACAATGTCGTACTATCCCTAGCTTATCTTCCATTGTTGTCCATTTCTTTGCTATTATGAATGTCATTGTCTATAAATAAAATAATGTGCATCAGGGTCAGATTTACATACTCTACTTTACTCTACTGATCTAGATATATGTCATTTCACGCACAAACAAGACCCCTATACCTGTCAATGAGCAAATGCTTGTATTGTTATAAGTATAGTTTTTCAAGGACATTGTTACAACTATCAAACAAATATAACTCAGTACGCCATAAAATATTTAATATGTATAACCCACTCACAAGCACTACACGTACTACTCCTTTTCCTGTTATTTTATTGCCTTCACCACTGTGTTCCTGAAGTATGTACAAGATTATTGCAATGTTTCCATATGCTTTGTTCCTTTTTATCGCTAGCGTTCTCTGTTTTTCTTGCTCAATCCCTTTCTCACATATGATTTGCTGCATTTTAATTTATTGTGCACTTTACACAAATTCAATTGTTATTTTGTCAATTATTTTTATTTCCAAGTGTCATCAGACCAGACTAGACTAGACCAATACGGTCAATTAAAGTAAAATGGGGAAGTAGAATCATTTACCAATTATGTTGTTAAGCTTTACTGTTCACATATTTGCAGAATAATGGAAAAAGGGGCATATAGGGATAATGGGGATTTTCAGAAGCAAAGCTAAACTTTGTTGGAATTGAATGCAGTATATCCCTACCAACACTCCCCTCCTCCAGCTACCCTCAGTCAGGAACAATAATTGTGACATGTCAGTTACTGCATTATTTTCTTGCCATATTCAAACAGTCCAACTAAATAATTTGAAAGTAATTAATTAAAAACATAAACATTGGCTACTGTCGGTTACGAAAAAATACAACGGGGTGGGTCATCACAAGATACACAAAAACACGTAACTGTTTATTATTTAACTGTCAGTTAGCCTGGAAAACTTCCAGCGCTCCTATTAGCAACAGCGCACGTGCAAACGTCTATGTATGGAATTTCCCCATTTTTATATTGATTTGAGTTGGTGTCTTCTTGATGTAAATTTGGTTTATAAGCAAAACATAAAATTTTAATTCTTACTTTTTGTTGGCTGGCTGCTACGCTCAAATTATCCACTAACCAAATCGTAAATTCGCTGACACAAAATCATTTTGGAGCACCACATAATGAGAAAAAAGCCTGCCGACAAACATATGGTCTGGGTCAATTGAATCACTGTTTCTGAAATAGCCAAATATTTTTTGCTGAAAAGCGGCGCAATGGCTTTCAAACAAACACAAAATACAAATTAACGCTAGTAAGCAGCAAGCACTCTATCAAAGATATACTCACGCGGAACTGAGATTATTTGGTACTTTCCAAATGCCAGCAAAGGCAATGGCATTTGCAACTGAGGGCAATTAAAAAACGGTGCAAAGAGGGCAAAGTCGCCAGTGAGTTTGCCTTTGTGGATGCGAAAAATGGAAGTGCTAAGGATAGAGACAAAGAACAGGGGGAATGCAAATGCAACAGGCGTAGCAACAAGCCAACTGATCGCCGGAAATGCTACGTATCCCCGCATGGTGGTGCGCGGATGGTGGGAATGTGTTTGTGCAAAAGGCGTGGGTAGAACACAGGGCGCCAGTGCGGGGGTTAGCTACTGCAAAGCATGCGGGTCGAGTAGGCTGGCAAATGGAATTGGTTAGAAGCAACAAGATTGGCTGTAAAAAGCTGGTTGGCAGGGGCGTTTAGCTCAGTGGTAGAGCGTTCGGCTGCAGTCCGATTGGTCTCCGGTTCAAATCCGGAAGCGCCCTCTTTTTGCCCTCAGCTATGTATTCCCCCTCTTTTTTACATGCAGGACCGCCGTTTATTATTGGCAAGTGATATGCCGCGCGACACTGTCTACAGCCGTCCTGAGCAACATTGCCAATGTCTTTTGTCTTTTTATGCGACAGAGACCCCCAAAAAGGGGCGACCAATGCTTTATCCAAACAACAGACATGGCAGTGGCTATATTACCAATGGGGAAACTGCAGTGACACCAGTGGCATTGGCTACAGAGCGTTTGGAGCTTCAACAACTTGTTATATTGCAAAATACACCGACAAGCCAGCGTTGATGACAAAAGAGCCCAAGCGCAAACCGAAAGTAATGGATAAGGTGCAGATCGACTTGGACAACACCAAGTGCCCAAGCATGTTGGCGACGAGCCCGCTCGCAGCACATCGACTTATTTAATTGTCCGTTGGTCTAGAAAATACAGGTGCCAACTACTGAGTCACCATAAAACAGAAGAACCCTGCTGATCGAGTCGCCGAGCGGCATATAATTGTTGTGTCTTTCGAAGACGAGTCGCCGAGCAGCATGTGATTGTTGTCTTTCGAAGGCGAGTCGCCGAGCGGCATGTAATTGTTGTGTGGAGCGCTACGGAGGATTAGCCCTCATTTTTATTGCCAAAACACGGTGTGCCGGTTGATGAGTGGGTGCCTGGTTGTCAATGCGCTTGTACGGGTTGGTTTAATGCAGCTAAACTATTTTGAACCGTGGTTCAAAGACGTTCTATGGACCAAACGTGTTGCAGAAAAAATACACTGACAGCTCATCAGCAGCATTCTCTCCTTGCTGTTCA